CCATCGCTAATATTTTTGATCCTCTTTCCATAACCACTTAATAAAGTTTTTTTTCAAAGAAGGGCCTTATTGACTGATAATTGGGCCTTAAATGAGATCTGTGAAGAGAAAACATAAAACTCAGAATCCTGCCACTGAAATGCTGGCTTTGCTCTGATAGGTCAGACCGTGATTCTCTCAAACCTTTCTGTCCACTTTGCCAGTGAACCACAAGTGCCTGACTTGTAACCATCTCAGCGACATTCATTGAAAAGTTAGGAAAACCCACAATCTGTCTGGCCAGTCATGTGTCACTGTCCTGCCCGATGATAAAACAAGGTATCTTGGCCTACTTTCTGAGCCATTTATTGAGCTGCTGTGTAAATCTTAGCTGTAAACCTCTGCAGAAAGTAGGTGAAAAGATACTTTTTGTTCTGTTTTCTAGATGATGTGCAAGTAGGATAGTGGAAAGAGCTTTGGTGTTAAATAGAGTTAGGTTTGCAAACTGGTGGCCCTGGCTGCCTTTTTTTTTTTTTTAATTGTTATATCCTTAGCCTACTCCAAAGGGGGAGTGTGAGCACTAGAGATAATATCCATAGAGTGCTAAGCTGTGGACAGCCTGAGAAATGGTGCCACCATTGTGCTGTCCCTGAGCACAGGACTCCACAGGCCTCTGGAGACCTCACTGTAGTGCCATCTGTCCCTAACCAGTCACCCCCCCCACCCCTACCTCTTTGCCCCTCCGTTAGACATCAGAAGCCTGCTCCTGAAAGTGTGCGATTTAAGCTGTGTTCCTTGCTTTCTTCTTTCAGATCTGTAAGAGCAAAGCCAAAGAGTCACAGCAGTACTATCATAGCTTGGCTGTTCGGCAGAGCCTGGCTGTCCATTTTAACATCCAGCAGGACTGTGGTCATTTCCTTGCCGAAGTTCCTAAGCGTCTACTGCCCTGGGAGGGTCCCGATGCCCCAGAAGAGGAAGAAGATGAAATTCAAGAGAATGAAGAGGGTGTGAGAGACCCTGATGGGGAAAGCGCAGAGCCCTGCTCTGAAGCAGAGTCACCCCAGAAGGAGAGTCCGGGAGCCATCGGCAGGACGCAGAGGAGCCACGTAGTGGTCATCACCAGGGAGGTCCCCCGCCTCACCGTGGCTGATTTTGTGCGGGACTCCCTGGCCCAGCATGGGAGGAGCCCTGACTTATACGAGAGGCAGGTGTGTCTGCTGCTCTTACAGCTGTGCTCTGGCCTTGAGCACCTCAAACCCTACCATGTCACTCACTGCGACCTCCGCCTGGAGAACCTGCTGCTGGTCCACTACCAGCCCGGGGCCACTGGCCAGGGCCTTGGGCCTGCAGAGCCCCGCCCCACCTTCTCTCGTCCCACTAGGCTCATCGTAAGCAACTTCTCTCAGGCCAAGCAGAAGAGCCACCTGCTGGATGCTGACATCCTCCGGGACCAGTCCCGCCTCGCCCCCGAGATTGTCACGGCCACCCAGTACAGAAAGTGTGATGAGTTTCAGACAGGCATCCTCATCTACGAGCTGCTCCACTTGCCCAACCCCTTTGACGAGAGCCCAGAGCTGAAGGAGAAGGAGTACACGCGAGCAGACTTGCCTCGCATCCCACTCCGCTCCCCCTACTCCTGGGGCTTGCAGCAGCTAGCTGGCTGCCTCTTGAACCCCAACCCCTCGGAGAGGATCCTCATCTCTGAGGCCAGAGGCATCCTGCAGTGTCTGCTCTGGGGCCCCCGGGAAGACCTCTTCCAGATGTTGAGCACTGCCCCCAGCCCAGGGCAGAGGAATGCCCTGCTCCAGAACTGGCTGGACATAAGGCGGACACTGCTCATGATCAAGTTTGCTGAGAAGTCCCTGGACAGGGAGGGTGGGGTCAGCCTTGAGGACTGGCTCTGTGCTCAGTATTTGGCTTTTGCCACTCCAGACTCCCTCAGCTGTGTCGTGAAGATCCTGCAACACCGTTAATGCATCCTGGTCACTACTTTTCCTTTGCTGTCATCGTATTCAAGTCACCCACATCTTCCCTGGCCTTGAACTCACAGAACTCAAGGAAAGGAGAGTGAGACTGTCCATCCCTGTCCACAAACCAAGGAGCCCACTCAGAAAGGTATCCACAGCTCCAAATTGAGTGACCAGCTGAGTGTCTTATCTTTACAGAAACTCAACTGCACAAGCATCCAGCTGCCTCCCACTGGAGCGCCTTTCATCCTGATTGTCCCACAAATGCAGATAAAAAATTAACATTTTTGAAGGGATCACTTTTTTGGTATGAACTCAGTGAGCTGTGTCCAGTTCTTCCATAATTCTAAATTCCACCTGCCTTTTTAACACCAAGTATTTATTCTCATTAGCAATAGATAGATTTAACCAATTCTTACCGTCATCCACTAAGCTCTCACAACAGACTTTCTCCCTCTGTTACCAGGCAGAACTGCCATCCTTAATGTCAGCCCAGTTTGGGTTCCAGGGACGATATTCTTAGTTCCACCAGGTAGTAGAAGGACAAGGAGTGATCCCACCACTTGGGTCACGAACCCTTTTTCATTTCTGTTATCGATAAGTAGGTGCACTGCATGAGGATGGCCCTAACTGTCCCCTCTGCTGCCACTGCCTGGTTCTCCTGCACCTCCGCTCTGTCCCCACTTGCCAATGAAGTTTGGCTTTATTGCCACTTGTGGCCTATTACAAAGCTGACCCATGGTGGTATGTGTCACCAGTGCCTCAGCAGGCTGAAGTGCAGTTCAGATCCTATAGTTGCCAGTCCACAGGAGATGACTTTCCTGAATGTGCAATTCTCTAGGGACCATCAGGGCACCAGTTTAAAGTACTGTTCTTTGATTTCTGTCAGAGTTGGCAGCCAGGGCTGGTGGTGCCCAGATCACAGTTTTTCTCCAGGCAGTCACTGGCTGCTGGCTTCCTTCTATCAGCACCCAGTTAACTCATCTACCAAGTGCCCTGAATGAAGGGCTGTCGGTTGAGCTCTCAGATCTCCTTAGAGAGCATGGCGCAGATGAGTATTAGGGTGGCCGGAGGCAGGCGAGGCGGAGGCCACTGAGGAGGCTTCTGGCTTTTCTAGAGAGACACCTCCCGCTGCACTGACAGTGCTTCCTGTGACTCTGAAATGGCTCTGAGGACAGCTCACAGGGAATTTGGAGTGCTGAGCTGAGTGGCTGAGAGCTGCTCACCATGTGTGGGGTCTGTGCTCCTGTCCTATGGATACATGTGCAATCTTTATGTATGTTTTGGCTGTGTATTACAGTGTTTATGTTGCAACTTCGCCTGAAGCATACCCACAGAAGTCCTCCCCTCTCCCCTTGGCACATATTTGCTCGAAGAGACAAGTGTCCCACCGGAGTGTGTGAGTGTGTGCGTGTGTGCGTGCTTGTTTTGTTCAAAGCTGGGAGTATCTGTTTACTTCAATGTAGAAATCCCAAGAGTCACTTGGACAGTATGAGTGTGTTTACATGAGTGTGCCCATGTGTGTGCACGTGCGTGCTGGAGGCAGAGGCCAGGCCTCTGGGGAGCAACCTGTGGCTGGGTCGATAGAATGTTGTCTGCACCTGGCCAGGGAGGGAGCCCTGACCCTGGGTCGACCAGCACAGAGATTTGTAACCAAGACTGAAGGTGCAATGTGGCTTAGATCACACATTAGTGGCCTTTGGAAATTTCTAAACTTTTAACATTTTTAACAGTCTTTCATGTGATTCATCTGTATCAAAGAGGATCAAGAAAAGAGAAGAATGTATTTGATTGTGTTTTTTGTTTTGTTTTGTTTTGTTTTTAAGAGATTGGGACATGTGAGTTTCCGTGGAAGGTGTCCCTAGCCTGGCCAGCAGTCCAGGACCCCCAAGGGAGAAAGCTGGGTGGGCCACAGAGAGTCTTGCCTCCCCTGGCCAGAGTGCAGGAGGGCTCTGCCCCTAAGAATGCCTCAGAGCAGCCATGCCACTGCAGGCCAGTGTCCTCTCTCAGAGTCCTGGGCTTGGCTGCGCCTCGCCTGATGGACTGGGGTGGGGCCCCCTAGCCAGCCCCCGTCCTCGCCTGGTTATACACTGAAGCAGTGCGCACACCACTGACGGCGCCCGCACGTCCGCGGCAGCCCCGCCCCACTCCCTGACGGTCTGGTATCGGATGCTTGCTCAGTATCACTCCGTGCCTTGCCCACATGAATTTGTTGACTATTTAATGAGGTTTCATATTTAATGAAGAAAGTTCCCTAGTCCCTCTGTTCTCTATTCTTTTTCTTTCTTTGTTTTACTTCTGTTTTGACTTGGATCCAGCCTTCTTCATTTTAACTCTCTAGTACTGTAACCACAGACACCCTCTACTACCGTTGTCTTACAGCACTGGTAACCAAAGCCCTCTTCACATCTGATAGGGTCAGGACCATTTTTACATTCAGATTTGTAAAGGGCAAAAGACCAATTCCGAACAGTAGTAGAAGGGCCTCGGGCCTCCCAAAGCGGGGCTAGATGAATTTTTCCTGAGTGTTGGCGAAGAATGTGAGGCAGGGAGAGAGAGGGTGTTACAGGTTAGAGCAGAACAGACAAAACAACTGTGTGTCTAGGCAAGAGGATGGTGTCACATGGTCCTCAGACTTTTTCCAAAATAATGGAGTTCAGTCAATCTCATAGTATCACAAATATTTTTTTTACATTTCCAGTTTAATTATAGTAGGAACTTTAAATTCATCAACTAGAAAGAAATGCTACTCAGAGACACAAGCAGACAAGCATATATGTACATGAGTTTTGGATTGTGACTAGTATAGCACTTTAAGTTTTCTCAACTAACTTCAAGTTACTGTCTTTAATATTGATTGGATTTTTTTTTCTTTTATATTGAAGTCTGTACTATATAGATTCTTCCATATTGAGAGTCTGAACAATTAAGCCGCTATTGGAAATTTTCCTTAAGCCACATGAGCAAGAACAATCTCTCTAGCACATCTGGGTGCTGGAGAAACAGGACAATGGCTGGAGTAGCCAAGACCAAGGACTGAATGTACAGCGGAGGGCCTTGACAGAGTGACCACCTAGTCTCAGGAGGAAGAGAAATGTGTGCTCCACAGAGGCCCAGGGCAAGGAGGGGCCTCCATGCTAGCCTGCAGAGTCCCCCTTTGGTACATGTATGCTGATTGGTGCCCAGACACTTGTCACAAGGAGTATTACCTCAGGGTGGGAAAGAACACGTGTAACCTGTGGAGTCAGCATTGAAACAATCAGGAATGGACTCCACAATCCCAGGCTAACTTAGAATTGGAAGCCAGGAGTGTGGCAGTGGGTTTCCAGTTTCAAATGCGCATGAGCTGGGTGAGGTATAGAGGGGGACACAAGCACCCATACTACTGAATTGGGGACTAAAAGGAAAATATATTTGTTAGGATTTTAAGAGTCTGAGTAAATTTCAATGTCAGATTAAGTGGGGGCCAGTTTTGCTTCCAAACTCAGAGTAAGTTTGTGAACATGGAAAACTAAGCCAAGAGATTTAAACCTCTAGAAGTGTTAATGATATTCTTGGGAGTAAAACTACCTAATATTGTATTTTAAAGTTTCTAGCACTATAGAATTTCCATGAAATATCTTTGGGACCTACTAAATAGTAGGGCATAGAAAGATTGCACTCAGCTTCTGTAATTTGTGTTAAGAATATTTTGGCGCTGGGAGGTAACCTGACGTGGTTTGCTGGTAACTTGCAACTAGGATTTTTCCCTAGTTGATCTGAAAAAATACAGACTAGTCCTGGAAACGGGGGTGGACTTAGGATACTGCACTATATTCCAAATGATTCTAGATGTATAAATACAGTATAAACATACTTGGGGAAAGGGAGAGGAGCTTGACTCCTTAGGCCAACTCTGACATTTTTATTCCCCTGACTAGCTACTAAGGCTTGAAAATCCTGGGTTAGCCTCGTGAGTAAACAGGCTGCCCCCGAAAGCTGGCTGTCAGTCTCAGCTCCCGGAAGCTCATGCTCTCAGGCCTGCCGGGCGTGCAGCTGGCTGACGGTGGCGCGGAAGGTGGGATTCCGTGGACCAAAAATGAGGCCGTAGGGAAGCTGAAGAGCTGCAAGAGCCTAGGCAGATATTATACCAAAGAAGACAAGTCTTTTGTCCCCATGCTTCTAAGGTGATGAGGTTATAACATGCCATGGGAGGAGAACCCTCATACATTCCACATCAACTATTTGGCTAATAAAATAATGCAACCTCAAAAGGTATACTTTTTTTTTTTAACAAGTCCATTTTGTGTTTTAGGGGAAAAAAAGATGATGACGACGACGATGAAAGCCTTAGCAGATTGTAAAGTTCTCCAGGATTTAAGGAGAACAATCTATTCCCTCTCCCCTTGTCATGACTTCAGCTTGGGAGCATCACTCCATAGGATACTGAGGGCTGAGGGTTGGGTTTTTTTTTAAAGAGATGTAGTTTCAGTAGGTTTGTTTGAAGAACTCTTGCGAAATTTCTTAACAAAATGTAATCATTTTTATAAATCTTCCAACACAGGTGTTTACACTCATCATCACCATCATTTAATGTTTTAAGTGCCCAGAATGTACAAGGTGCTGTACAGCTGCTAAGCACACCCTCCGCGGCTGTTTGAAACTAGAGTAGGTTTTTGTATCAGGTATTTTAGGAGCTTCGCCACTTGATGGGCTCCCGGCGCCTGCTTTCCACACAGCCCCGTTACATGTTTCCCACTCAGAGAGTTTCTTGCTTCCTACTCACCCCCGTTTTCTTTAAATCAAGAAAGTTTCAGGGAATCAAAAGAGGTCGGAAATTTTTTTAACCTAGCAGAAGTACAGAGTCATATATTTTGCTACGAATATTGTACTATGGAAAATTCACTTTGCCCTTACAGTGTGTGGAAAGTGAGTGTGTGTATGTACTTACAGTAATTTGAACGTTGAACTTCAGGGTAGCATTTTTGAAAGATAAACCACACTGCTTCAGAAAACTTACTCCAAATGCTTACTATTTGGCTATCCCTTCCCTTAGCAGGGTTAAAAAGTGGTGTGTGTGGATAGGCTGGGTTGGGATTTTCTGCAGATAACGCAGGGCATTTGACATGAGGTCAAGGCAGAAGTAAGATGTTATCCTTCCGGGTGATTTGAATCATGGCGGTCCTCATTCCAATCTTTCTAATTCCCCGTGGCTCTGCCCACACTTTATAGTTGAAAATGTTTCTCTTGCTCATTCCTGAAGCTTCACCTCTGTACTTAACATATTTTAGCGTTGTGTAAATCTACCAGTGAACTGTCCCCTCTGTCACCAGGTGGCACCACATATTGGTTTGCTGTGGTACTTTGCTGTGTTCTCTGTGGCATCATGTTACTGTGTAAATAAATTCGTTTCAAAATACACTGAAAACCAGACCAGCACTGTCCTTTCGGTGCCACTTCCGTACTGACATGCTGGGGAGGGTTCGGTTGCAGACGAAGCTTTGTCTCCCCCCCCGTCCCCCGCCCCCCCCCCATGCAGGCCCTCTTGGACCCTCATCCTCTGCTGACCCGGACCGTACTTTCAGTTCGTTCCCTCCCTCATCTGAGAAATCGAGGCCTGACAGAAAGCAAATGCCGCCTGCTTTCCCCAGAGCTCGGAAGGCTGCGGGTTTGTTGTGTGCGATTGCCCCCTGGTGGCCTGCACCGGCTAGCCCTCCTGCGTGCTCCAGGCTCCATGAGCTGGCTCTGGCTGACACCTAGTGGAGAGCTCAGAGCTGCGCTGGCAGCGTGAGCAGGGGCAGGCCTTGTTAGAGCATTATCGGCTGCAGAATCCACATGCCTTTTGTCTGTTCCTTAAGGGACAGTCACACACAGGGTCCTCACAAAGGCAGACAAGCTAATTAATGCGGACACTTGAGTAGCAGAGAGGAGGACACCTGGCTTAGGCAGGAAGAGTAAACAGTTGGCAGTGGTAGCAACAGCTGCCATGTTATTAAGAGTAGGATGGATAAAAGTGCAAACATATCAGCTCTAAATTTAGACCAGATTTTAGAGCCCTAAATTCCTTATAGTGGACACTGTCTCCAGCCCACCGTTTGCTCCTCCCCACTGGCAAGTACTCTGGACTTTGCAGACGTGGTATTTAAGGCTTATTCCAGGAAAGTGATTGCCAGACGAGTTTTGTGTTGTTGAGGAGGCAAGACCCACGTTTGTGGACCTCAGCGCTCTCTGTGTGTTGCCTGGGCCTGGGAGGAAAGGTCAGCAGCAGACTCTGAGAGACAGCCCTGGGGAACACAGACTCTGGCTGCTGAGGTCCTCAGCCTGCTTGCTGGAGAGGAGCCTGCCCTTCTGGTTGTGAGCACAGCACACTGGCTTCTGGAGGAAAGGATCAAAGAAAGAAGCAGGCAGTCGGGGCAGAGAGGTTACAAGGTCAGAGGTGGAGAGCACTAGACTTGGATTGCTGTCACACTCTGCTGGCACAAGGGGCCAACCCGAGGCCCTGAAGAGATACGGGCCTGAATGATGGGACCAGTCCGGGGTGCTCTAGTCAGACTCCAGAGAAAAACAAAGTCTGTTCTTCCAATAGGATCCCTTTGTCTTTTGGTATAACTGGAGAGAAATCATCCTATTTCCTATCACTTTGGTCAGCGTGGGATCCATTCCTGGGAGTTCCATCAGAGGGTTCTTAGCAAGAACACCCTTCTCTGTGACTCTGACTTGTCCAGAGGCGATGGACCACTGACATTTGGATAGGTCCCTTGTCTTCCGCATGACTTCTTTCAACCCAGGCCATAAAAAATGTGGGTCTTCCCTCCCCGAGTGAGCCGGTAAGAGGAGTTCGTGCGTGCCTGGTGCTCTGAGTGTGCACCGTCTACTCCCAGAGCTCTGCCTGCTCTCCGAAGCCTAGCAAATTCTGCTTCCTTTTTAAGTGAGCCGGACTTCATTAGTGTATTAGGAGCCAAGAACTGCAGCTGGCAGGTCACAAGTTGTCATTAAGAGCGGCTCAAGGCAATTACAGCTGAAACTTAACTATTGGATTCATGCTGGATCGGGGGCAGAAGGGAGTCAGTTGCCAAGATCCAATTCTCTCAAATTTGCAAGCCTCTGAGTGAAAACAGGCTACCTGGGCACAACCCTTGACTTCCTAAGATCCCAGATGACAATCTAGGCACACACTCTGGAAGGTGCATGGAAACAACCAGAATGTAGAGCGGGGCTGGGCGAGGTGCTGGACTCCTGGGGAATCTTTAAGGGGGTGGGGGAGTACAGGGACTCTGCATCTGTCAAGGGGGCAGAGCTCTCAGCTCTGCGAGTCTTCTACCACCCATCACCCACCAACCCATACCTGAACGGGAATCCTGGAAGCAGGGATCGGAGGTCGAAGACCCTGAAAATCTCCAAGCCCATGGTTCATCTTCCACTCTCCCTCCAACCCCAAATGTCTTTCCTCCCTGCACCACACTCTATCAGAGCCCCGGGGCATGTTTGAAACCACCCCAAGTCCCAAGCCCCAGGGCCCACAGATGCCACCTAGTGCTGGGGACAGAACCCCACCTCAAAGCACTGGGCTCTGCAGGCCGGCTCCCCTCGTGGCCTGAGGCTTGGAGCTGCTCAGCTTCTACCTGCCCCTGGACCTGCTCCAGAAGATGAAGGCAGCCGAACTTTCCCCAGCACCTGTGTGCACCTGGCCAGGGCACGTTCCAGGGAGCCCTGGGCTCTAGCTGAGTGAGTGCTAGCACTAACAGTGGATGGAGCACACTTCCCCTGTCTCACCCTCATTACCAACCCACAGGAGGGCTCCATTATGCCCATTTCTCACTCAAGTAATCAGAGCCAGAGTTTGAACCCAGATCTGTGTGACTTGTAGCCTGTTGCTCCTTCCTCCATTCCAACCTGTCACCTGTATGTGGCCAGGACACTGGGAGTACTGTAGGTGCTCAGAAGAGAGCTTCCTGGGGTTGGTGGAGTCTCAAAAGAGGGCTGGTCTTTTCTGCATGTGTTCTTTCATTCTCAAGTGCCATGTACTGAAGACCCAGTGCTGGGTAAAGCCCGCAGGAGACCTGCCCCAACTGTGGTAGACACAGGACACAGAGGGTGCCCGCTGGAAGGGAGCAGGGGGCAAAGGTGTCTGCCTGCCCTCTGCCGTGTGCCTAGGGGATGGCTCACAGAAATGGGACCAGGGTCTGGAAACATACATGTGTCCTGCATACAAAGGCCTCTGGAAAGCCCACACTGGGCCAAGGGTGCCATGAAGCACTACATAGGCTTAAGCCCTGACAGGTCAGGCCCAGGCAGGCCACTGGTGTCCTTCAGCACAACCCTGGGCTAGCTGCATCCACTCCTTGTCTCCAGGAAGCCAGAAACCTGGATTGAAGGGACTTTGAGAAGATTTCCTAACCTCTGAACTCCACTCATCTGTGGAATGGGGCCTTGTCTGCCACCCTCTCCTAGTCAGGTAGCTGGGAGGATGATTGGTGAGGTAACATTTGTGCAAATGTTGTTAAAAAGCAGAGCACACCTGAAAGAATTTGGGGAGGGGAGAACAGCGTTTGCAGGTTTAGGTGAAACTGCTCGTAGCCTGAGCAAAGTAACCTGAAGGAGAGGCTGCTGTCTGCACCCCTGGTTTGGCCCACTCTCAACCTCCGACCAGCTTCAGGCCATTCTTTCTGCCTTGCAAAGTAGGCGAGGGTCCCAGCCTGAGCACCTGGAAAGGGGGCCCCCTCAGAATGCCTGTGTCCCAGTGAGGCAGGCTCATCAGGGTTCTGTCTGAAATGAGGCATCAAGGTACTTGCTGGAGGGCAAAGTCACCAGGCCCCTGGGAAAGGGGCGACATTGAATGCATTGGAGAACTGAGGGTGAAGGGATCAGTTTTCTCTAAAAAACCAGCCCAGGGGTGCTTCTCTTGAACCAGCTTAATTTTATCTTCACAACAATCCTGTGAGGTGCATTCTAGAATTATCCCCATTTTACTGATGAGAAAATAAGCCAGACAGTTTTGTGTGCCCTGTAGTGAAACTGTAAAGCATTCAATCTCTTGCTTCATGCTCATGAAAATATACACAAAACATATACATATACCTGGAAATATGTACAGTGCTCTGCAAAACTGCTTTTCTCACTTAACTCACTTAAAAGCTGACCCCAAAAGACATCATGGCCATGGCACTTTTTAAAGGGCAGCTTCTCTCACTAAAAGTGATAGTATTATGTAACACACATATATGTAAATTTATTCTTATTATTTCTATTTCTGTGTGGACCCAGTCACATACTTGTAGAAGTGGCTAAACAATGAAATAGGAGAAACTAAAAATTTCCCCAAAACTTTGAAAGGAGATGCATAGACAGAGAGATGACCATCAAGATGGGAAGAAAGACCATGTTGTCTTCTCAAATATTTTAATGAAATTTGAATTAAAAATCTTAATGGTTTTTTTTCTTTTTTTTGACCTTTATAAAATGGTTCTCAGAGTCACTGGGAAGAATGAATAGGTGAAAGAACCCCAGAAATTGTTGAAATTGAGAGGCTATTCAAGCATATGAGAAAGCTATAATCAGTAAAACAGTGTGATAAGGAGAAAAAACAGACCAATGTAGCAAAATAGGTAACTGTCAACAAGAGTTTGCTGCCACCAATCCAATGCCAATAAGAGTCCCCATCTGGAATGCCATAAAAAGAGAAACTTTATTCAAGAGAAAGTTTGCAAACTGGGGAAATGCAGCTTCCAGTGGAAACTAAAAATGTGCTCCGCTCAGGCAAAGGGGAGGCCTGGTTTTATAGACAAAGTTCCCACCCCAGTCTGATTGGTCCATTTCCATGCAAATGAGGAATCCAAATAGCACTGTCCTGACTGGTCAAAATTGCACATTCTGATTGGTCATTATGGAGCTGCTCTGATTGGTCAATAAAGATGTAAGTGAGTATATAGCTGTGCAGTTCCAATTGGAAAAGGCAGGTCTCAGCCCATTGGTCAAAATATGAATGCTTTACAAGTGTGGGCTCAGATGAGGCACAGTGCAGGAGGAAAGCAGTGTGCATGAGAGACCGCTACTAGCAATCACTGCTAGACTCTGGGTATGATTGCGGCCCAGTTAACCACAAATAGACCTTCTTGGCAGGTATATTCCTTTTTGAGGTCAACATAACCTAAAAACAAAACTTAATATCTAGACAAATGTCTATAAAAATGATATAAGACATCACTATATAAAAAGGAAAGAAAGTCTTATTCAATAAAATATGCTGGTGCAATTGGGAAGTAATCTGCACACTGTAAACCCAAATAAATGCAAACAAGGTCACACAAAGAGCTACATGCCACAAAGGAAAGAAAAAAGACCAGAAACCCTAAGAAATAGAAAGAATGCTAAGTCAATATCTGTTTTATCACTTGTTGATCAAGGTCTTTTTAAGTTAAAAGGCAATGG